AATTAATACGCAATTTTTTAATCGGAGAATATAAATATGATGTAAAATTATGCGATTTAGTGCGATTTGGTTTAATCACACTAAATCACAATTTCCGTGTCTCTAAAGTTGCAACTCAGATAGATACGACATGTACGTATTTATGAAACGGATAGTATTAACGAGTTATGGTTGACCTGTGCTAAGTCTACCAGAAACCATACTTACATCCGTTAAAAATTTTGAAAATCGTTTATTAATAAAATTATGGATTTAATTTTCGGGTTAAATAATATTATTTAAATACCTCTCAATTCAACGAATATTGAAAAGCCAAACTTGATTTGCCGATTTAAAGATTAAATCTATAGAAATGATCCTTATAAAATAAAATTTTCTTGGTAAGGTGAACAAAAATGATTTGAAAGATGAAATGTTGATTTTCTCTGTATTTGCGATCTAAATAAACGTTGAAAGCATTAAAACTTTATGGACTTACAGCGTTAACAATTGAAGTTTACATGAATTATCGATACAAATATAATAAAAAATTAACAAATACATATATTTATTATTTTATTTTATTTTGTAATGCTTGTACAATATTAAACCTCAATTTATAATTTATAAAATAAAAATTATCAATTAACTAAATTTTTAATAATAATATACCAATAGTCTTTATGCAAACTCTATAAATACTACAGACATAATAATAATAATAAATTCTTTAATAAGAAAATTTTGAAAAATTCAAGTATTGAATTTTACTAATATTTATATTTTGTTTACTAGCAAATTATAAAAAATTATAATAATATAAAAATCTTGAAAGTATTTAGTTGTTTTGTTTGTTCTTTATCAACTTCAACAAATCTAGAATAAATGAATTAATCAAACCAATAATCAAATCTTTAGCATAAAATAAATAAAAATAAGTTATTTACCTTCAGGTGTAAAGGTGTATTTTTGAGTTACATATCTTTTATCTAAAGTTATAAAGCAAAAATGAAACTTGTTTTATAACTAATTCACAAAAAAATTATGATGATACTGCGATGCAATCTTACCCTTATTCACTTTTTCATACTCAATTTGCTTTTCAGGTTCTTCCTCTTCCTCGGAACTTGATGAGAACTAGCGTAATTTAAGTTTATTGTTAGTTAACCTTTTTTTTTAATTTTAGAAATAATTTCTTCTTTGAAAGCTTCTAATTCATTGCATACCGAATCATCTAATTCAATACTATCATCATCTTTCTGTTTAGGTACACTGTTATTACATTTCCCTGGAGAAGCTACTTCCTGAACAATCTTTTTAGTAACATTATCAACCACATCTTTATCAGCACACTCTAATAATACTTTTTCAGTATCCTCATTTCTAATTTTTTTAGAAAAATATTCACGAGTTTTATTATACGTATATCCCCATCCATCTTCATATTGAGACGCTGCATTTTTCAGATCTGAGGGGCTAATAGCGGTTACAAGAGTGTTTGAAACCTTATGTAATTGATATTTTTTCTTTGTGACTATAATAATATTATCTTCTTTATGAGCATCTAATTCTTTACATACTGAATCATCCAATTCAATTTCTTCACATTTCTCGGGAGAAGCTGCATCTTGAACAAGAGGAAGTGCAGCGGCTTTCTTATGATTTTTCTCAACCTTCTTAGTGACATTGTCAACGACGTATTTATCAGTGCACTCTAATAGTTCTTTTTCTGCTGCAGGATTTCCAATTTGTTTAGAAAGATAATCGCGAGCTTTATCGTATTTATCTTTCCACAGATTTTCGTGATTTGGTGCAGCGAATTTAAGGTAACTAAGAGTAAGTGCTGTTTTCCACCACAGCTCTGATTCGGGTGATTTAAGTTTCTCATTTTGTGTATCTTTCTTTGCTGTAGTTACGACCTCCGTAATGGGAACGTCTATATCTTCACAAATCGTCTCACTAATTTCAAAAGATCCGTCATCATTTTGTTTAGAAACTGCATCGCTGCATTTTTCTGGTGTAGTTGAATTTTGCACAGTAACTACTGCATGTCTCTTTTTATCTTTAATCACTTTCTTTATGGCATTCTCAATTACATAATCATCGACGCATTTTATTAATTCCTCTTCAGCATTTTTATCTCCTATTTGTTTTGATAGATATTCACGGGCTTTATTATATTTATCTCTCCATAAACCTTCGTGATGGGGTACAGCTTTATTAAGGTATGCAAGATTAATTGCAGTCGCAAGACTTAATGAATGCTCGGGTGATTTAAGTTTATCATTTTTAATATTCTTTTGAATTGTTGTAATAATTTCTTCTTTTGGAGTATCTAGTTCATTACAAACTGAATCACCCAATTCAATAGAACCATCATCTTTTTGGTTCGAGATGATTTCTTTACATTTTTCGGGAGTGACTGCTTCTTCAACAATAATGAGAGCTTCCGCTTTCTCATGATCATCAAGTTTGTCTTTATTGAATGTAAGGGCACGTTCAACTTGATCACCAAGTTTTCGAGCCACCTCGAAAAAATCTTTAGGTTTTTCAGACTTGGGTATTTCATCTTTCTTAAGATCAATTACATCCCATTTCTTTTCTTCAATTACTTTGTTTATTACTTTATCAATTATGTATTCATCGGCACATTTTATTAAGTCCTCTTCAGCATTTTTATCTCCAATTTGCCTAGAAAGGTATTCGCGGGCTTTATTATATTTGTCCTTCCATAAACCTTCGTGATGGGATGCAACATTTTTAAGGTACGAAATATTAATTGCAGTTGCAAGACTTAATGAATATTCGGGTGATTTAAGTTTACTATCTTTAACTTTCTTTTGAATTGTAATAATAATTTCTTCTTTGGAAGTGTCTAATTCATTGCATATCGAATCATCTAATTTAATGCTACCATCATCTTTTTGTTTAGATACAATTTCTTCACATTTCTCAGGAGAAGCTGATTCCTGAACGATTGTAATTGCAACGTCTTTTTTATGATCTTTTTCAAACTTTTCGGTAGCATTATCAACAACGTCTTTATCAGTACAATCTAATATTTCTTTTTCTGCTGTAGTATCTCGAATTTGGTTAGAAAGATATTCGTGGGCTTTCTTAAGATCAATTACATCTTGTTTCTTTTCCTCAATTACTTTGTCTGTTAATTTATCAACTACGTACTCATCGGCACATTTTATTAATTCCTCTTCAGCATTTTTATCTCCAATTTGTTTTGAAAGATATTTACGAGCCTTATTGTATTTATCTCCCCATTTACCTTCATATTGAGATGCAGCATTTTTCAGATATGAAAGGTTAACAGCAGTTGAAAGTAATGAAGGGAGTTGAGGTACTCGAAGTTTTCTATTAGTAATGTTCTTTTGAATGGTGGCGATAATATCTTCTTTGGGAACGACTAATTCTTTACATACTGAATCATCTAACTCAATACTACCATCATCGTTTTGTTTAGACACAATTTCTTGGTGTTTCTCAGGAGAAGCTGCTTCCTGAACGATAATAATTGCAGCGTCTTTTTTATGATCTTTTTCAACCTTTTTAGTGACATTATCAACGACATACATGTCGGTGCAGTCTAATAATTCCTTTTCTGCTGCAGCATCACCAATTTGTTTAGAAAGATATTTGCGAGCTTTATTGCATTTATCTTCCCATAGTTTCTTGTGATGTGGTGCAGCGATTTTAAGATAACTAAGAATAAGTGCTGTTTTCCACCACGGCTCTGATTGGGGTGACCTGAGTTTCTTATTTTGTGTATATTTCTTTGCTGTAGGTACTACGTCTACAATAGAAACATCTATTTCTTCGCAAACCGTCTCACTAATTTCAAAAGAACCGTCATCCTTTTGTTTAGATACTACATCATTGCACTTTTCTGATGTAGTTGATTTTCGCACCTTAGATATTGCATTTCTCTTTTTATCTTTAATCACTTTCTTTATGCTATTTTCAATTACATAATTATCCGCCAAATCTAAAAGTTCTTTTTCTGCATTAGCATCTCCTATTTTTTTTGACAGATATTCACGGGCTTTATCATATTTATCTTTCCATAAACTTTCATGCTGGGGTGCAGCATTCTTAAGGTATGAAATGCTAATTGCAGTTCCAAGACTTGATGAATGCTTGGGTGATTTAAGTTTACTATTTTTAATCTTCTTTTGAATTGTTGTAATGATTTCTTCTTTAGGAGCATCTAATTCATTACAGATTGAATCGCTCAGTTCAATAGAACCATCGTCTTTTTGACCCGAGACTATTTCTTTGAATTTTTCAGGAGTGGCTGATTCTCCAACGATAATAAGAGCTTCAGCCTTCTCATGCTCATCATGTTTGTTCTTATCAAATGTAAGTGCATTTTCAATTGGATCGCTAAGTTTAGCGGCCTTTTTATAAATACTACCGAAAAAGCTTTTAACTTTAGGTTTTTTGGCTATAACTATAGGTATTTTAAATCGTTCATGGACAGCCCTTTTAGCGATAGCAATCACGGTGCGTTCAATTGCAATATCGTTAATTTCTTTACTGATGTAATGTTCAGCATGCTCACAAAAACTATCCCATTCACTTTTACAATCCTTTAATAAGAAACGTAAAAACCATAAGACCATGCTAGTGGTCCATACGGTGGGATTAATCTTAAAATTACGCTCTTCGCCGCATTGAGATTTGTATAAGTTTAAAAGATCTTTCTGAAATTCAAAACCAAATAGATTGGCTAATGTATCAGAAGGAGGAATACCACCATTTGGAGCTTGTAGTGTGACAAGAACGCAAAATTCCGAATGACCAAAGGGTTTCTCCTTAATATTTGCAAGAAAATCGGGAGTTGGTGTTGGAAGAGGTTCTAGAGGGAAATAATTCGCTTTGTAATGAATTCGACCTTGAATGGAAAGGTTTGACCAACTACAAATATAGTATACGTGAGGATAATGATTTAAAATTATTATATATATACATATATTTTTTTTACTAACAAAAATTTTATACTCACACGTCAATACCATTTGGAGTGCCTTCTTTGATAAGTTCACAAGTATCCAATTGGCAATTTCCAAGTGGTTTATGTTTTATAACAGTGTTGAAATCCATCACTTCCAAAATGAACTTTTCACCAATAATTTTAACAGGTAGATAGTGAACTTCATTCCACACTGGATTCAAGTTGTTATCTATGACTTTAGTTTGAGCGATAATATCTTTATTATTATCCGCGTGAAGTATTCGAACATAAGGGTCAGATACTCCTAATTAATTTAGTTATTTATTTAAATGAATGGGATCGTTTATATTGACATAATAATAATTTCAAATTTCAAGGGCAGAACAAAATAAATTTATTACCAGCGAGGAAGCTATCGACATTTTTTAAGCCTACAGCGCTTACCAATTCTAATTTAACCACACCAATGACTAATAATAGTATTGGAGAAATTAAAAAAAAAAAGAGACACAATAGATCAAACTTTTGAAAAAGTAAGAAATAGTGAAATTACATTTCTCCCCAGGATGGAATGGCAGTGTAGTGAATTGAATATTCTTGAAGCTTTTCGAAGTACTATCAGCAAGCACAATATTTTTGCGTTTAACTCTAAGTACGAATTTTGGTTGACTTTGCAATGCAATACGCCTTTCGCTGGTAAGGATCCACTTTTGATTAGTAGTTTGGCCTGTACTTCTTCTATGATTAAGGATGAGACGGCCTCTTGCTTTTACTATAGGGAAAGATCATAAAACTGCTCAGATTAACACATTTTCCCGTTAAATTTACCGAAGCCATTACAGGTAAATTTTTCATTGTTATGGTATAAGTTCTGTTTTAAACCTATGATAAGACCTACCAGTTTCAGCTTCCAGACATAAGTCTGCTTGTTTATTAACCAGAAAACCATCTTCATAACACCAAAGTTGATAGCTATCATGCTCAGCGTCGCTCTTTTGTTGGGCGACAATAACTTTAGTTCCTAAAAAACCTCTCTCAATATCAACAACCAAGCTTGGAGAGCGTGGAGGTGAAGTTTCCAACTTTATGTAAAAGTCGCCGCTAGGGAACTGGCACTGACTGACGTTAGTGATATCATTTTTATTTTCAGCGGTATTTTCATCCGAAGGAATGTCTAATTAATTGATTAGATACAATTTCTTTGCACTTATAGAAGAAGCTAATTCTTGAATAATTCTTACCTGAATCTGAATTTAACAATTTATAAAATAAACACGCGATTTATGAAATTTATATGATTGGAGATATATTTTTATGATCATAAAAATTAAAATTTACCAAATTCAGAGAAGGGCATGCTGAGTATAGTCAATGATTTGGAAACTATTCAAATGAAATTTTTTTACGGAATAAATTAATATCGATATATTTTTGAACTTTAATTATCCTTTAAACCGTCTTTCAGGCAAATTTGCCTGCTATTGCAGCATATTTCGGGATAGTGGGACGGTTTAAAGAATAAAAATATAACTGAATTAGATCATTAAAAGATTAAAATTTACCATCACTTGATATGTGAACGAAACCTATTAACATTTAATTGAAAAATTTTTTACGAAATAAATTAACGCATGTTTGAACTTTTTATTATAAGAATTTAACAAAGTTATAAACATCATTTTACTTTCTGCACTTTCCGAGAAAGGATCCCAAAATGCTATAGCATTGAATTTACGTTAATAAAAAGAATAAATCCCTCAAATTAATTTTATCGTTATTTAAACAATTAATTACCTTTTTGTGGTGTATAATTTGGCGTAACACGAAGAGGTTGTACTGGATCCCTAATAATTATTTCATACAATTCTTCATATTCTTGTATCAATAACGATGAATCCGGCCTGTTTAAAGGATCTCCATCCCAACATCGTTCCATTATATTTTTATAAGCTTCTGGTGTTCCTTCCACGACTTCTGGACGAAGCCCTTGGCAGATTTCTGCAGCCAAATATATATTATGATGTCTGTCTGAAAATGGCCTAATAGAAGATGTTAGTTCCCACATTATTATGCCTAAACTATAGATGTCTGATTTTTTTGTATACGGTCCTCTAAGGATAACCTCCGGTGCAATATAAGGCAAAACGCCAATGATCTCTTCTGTGAAGAATAAATCGATTTAGTATAATAACAAAATTAAATAATTTCAGTCTATATTTAATAATATAAATGCCTGATAAAAAATCTGCGGAACTTGAAAGCCCGAAGTCACTAATAAATATTTTTGTATCATCGTCAACAAGAATATTTCCGCAATGAAAATCTCGATGAACCATATTTAATTTGTGAAGTTCATTTAAAGATTTCGCAATATTAGAAAGAATTTCAACTCTCGCTGGCCATGTGAGTGTAGAATTAAATTTATAGATAAATCTCCTGAGATCACCGTGAATCGCGTGTTTCATAACCATCGCGTACCCTTCCATTTCTGGACGTGTTGTTAAACCATAGAAAGGTACAGCACACGTTCCTAGACACTGATGGTGTATTTTGAACTATAACAAGTGATTTAAAAGAGTAATAATTATTATTGCATACTTGTGAATGATAAAATGTAATCGAATTAATGATGCTTATAATTACTTCATTAAGAAATTTGGGGTCAAAATTTTTAGATTCCTTCAAAACTTTAAGAACAACATCAACATATACTAATTTATTATCATCATGTGTTAATAACTTCCATTTGCCAATAAATATTTTCGCATGACCCCCTTCTACGTGTACAATTGGACTATTGATTTCAATATCAGAATGGGGTATCCATTCAATAAAGTCGTCGCAATGTTTTTTGTTAGATTTTGTATCTTGAATAAATTTGTCAATATCTTCGTTCCCACATGATAAATATGGTTTATTAGAAAGTGTATTAGTTCTGCATAATTTTTCTATACATCCGATCACCTTCTGATGGCAATAATTACAGGAAAAATCTTTATCCATCTTCAGAAAAGATTATCATTAGCGTTAGTGAAAAATTCCTCTTTAAGCGCATCCGTTATTAATAATTTTGCTATAATAAAACAACTGCATTTATAATAATGCTTTTACAGTATGACGTAGCTATGATAATACAACTTACAGATAGTTTAATGAAAGTGACGATATAAGATACTGTAACGGCGTGCACCGAGTGATACAAACCCAAAAAGGAACAGCAATCAACAAAATTGATCCATTTAAAGATTTTGGAGAATTTTTTTAAAACTTCTAGTGAAGGTTTCCAGTTAACTATTTTATACTTTTTTTCGCCTATGCGATGTATCACACCTTATAAGATCTGGTGTAACGCAAAATCATTAAAGTTCGTTAGTTTGGGGTTAGCGTTAGTAGGAGGCTCCTTATTGGACGATAATGGGTGGCGATACACCGCATAAGATAAATTATAATGTCCTTTTCTATTTTAGAATAAAATAAAAAAATTCTTATCGATTCTGGACAATTAAATGTCGAGAAAACTTCATTAAAAGTAGGGATTCGATCCTATCTTTGACAGGCCATCCGGATTCTATTAAATCCGGATTGAATCCGTGTTAGATTAGATATAAAGCTAACTTTGAGAACATCCTTATGTCCGTTATTTAAGTTCTTTGACAAATCCGAATAAAAATCTCTGATCTGGATGTTTAAATTTATCTATATTTAAGGATCAATTCAGATGGTCGGATTACGGATCGATTTCCTAATTAAAAATTTGGCCGCGGTTTTTTTTTATAAGTGCTTAACGACACTTACCTGATCAAATTCGATAAAAAATTTTTTATTTTAATTCTCCTTTTAATGAAGATTTTAATTATTCAAATTCGACAAATTTTCATCGAATTTGGAAAATTTCCCCAATTTTTTTATTCGAATGATTTTTTAAACTTTAATTGTAGATTTCTCGGTATCTATCTATAAAATTCGATGAAAATTTTTTTTTTATTCTCATTCTATAATATATAGCACAGAATTAAAAAAAAATTTTGGCTGAATTTTATCAAATAGTTATCGAGAAACCTCTAGAATTTTTAATCAAATCTTAAATGGATCTTCAAATTTGTTTCCTATTTTGGGTTTGTATCACCCCAAAAAATAAGTAATTCCATTGTTAACGATGAAACGTTAGGTTACATTAAGATTTGATAACCGCCCATTTCCTCGACAATTATTTCCCCTATAGGCCATTTACCCGACATCGCAGCATTTACAGCTGTTTTCAAAAAAATGTGGAAACCGATTTCCATATACCCATGTGGGGAATCGAAGAATGTGAAAATTCTGCTTAGTAAAAATTAAAAATCCGATTATAGTGGGTTTTAAAGACTCTGGAAATCTGTGAAATATCGTGAATTTCCCATAGTATGGTGATCTGCGTCTTCCACAAATTTTTGAAAACTGCTATAATTATAAAGTATGCATTTTTAGTAAATTATTTCCCGTGTGATGACCTGTAGGGGGGAATGACGTCGGAAAATGAGATGCAACTATAGAGCGTATAATGAATGTTCTTAACAAATGCGCTAATTTTGATTGTACTACAAAATTTAAAGGGTGTCCGGTTGTAGTTAGATTTTTTATTTGAATATATCGAGATCAGTATAGCTAAATGTACATAATGAATTGATTGATTTATTGTTGATTTAATTGATGAAAAAAGTCTGTTAGACGTGAATACGATATGTAATTTTTTAAATTTAGGGTACTTTCTAGTGACGTACACATCAATTGACTGTCTAATATCTAATGAAAGAATTATAACTTGGGGAACTTTGACCAAAAAAAAAGGTCAAATAATCAAAATTAGCGCGGTTGTAACCACAATAAGAACTCGCTATATTCGATTATCTTAATTGATATATAGTAATCAATTATATATACTTTGCTATATTACTATAGGTTATATAAAATTTATGAATTAGTTTCTACAAGCCGGTCGAGTTTCATAAAATGCTAGATTTGAAATTTAAAGTGCACATGCCAAGTCATAAAAGCTAGATTATAAAATTTAATTTTATATACTGTACATTATTAAACCTGAATATATAAATCGGCTACAATAATACTAATATTGAAACTTATATATCAATCACTTCTTAAACAAAAGATAATATGATTTGAATTATTAAATATATTATATAGTAATCAATAATCTTCCGTGATCTCGATATAGTGACGGTGGATTATTAAAATTAAAGCTAATTCAAACAAGTACAACTTTTTCTAATTTAGCATCTCTCCTTTAATCATTGATTGTCTTCGTGATTGTCTACTTTGTTCATTAAGGACTTCGATTCCCTGTTTGATTAAGAATTGATCACATGCAGAATACAATTCTTCTTCCATTTCAGGGTTTTTACATTGTTGATTAATCCACGATGTTGCACGTTCACAGGCAGGTTTCCATACTTGCTCGTAATTATCCAATACAGTTCTTAAATATGTGATTGTAAGAGCTGTACACCATAAAGACGGATCACAGCTTCTCAAGAACGAGCTTCCTACATAAGGCTTGAGTGACTTAACGGCATTATCGACTGAAGGAATTCTAAGATGGTCAGAAATTGATTTATGTAGGGTGAACGAACCGTTGGGTTCTTGAGAGTTACAAAGTGTTCGAGCGACTTCCTCTGTAACATAATCGCGAAGACTTTTACGAACAGTTTTACGCGTTTCTTCGCTAATCTGAAGCACTATAACATCGAACGATTCTTCAGACTCTTCTTCGATCCCACTTTGACTGTTAATAAAATCAACACCTTGTTGGATCAAATATTGCTCACAAGCAGAGTATAGTTCCTTTTCTGCTCCTGCATTATCAATTTGCTCAGTTATCCAGGCGCCGGCGCGATCATATGCATGGCGCCATTCTTTTTCATGGTCTATCAGAACATTTTTAAAGTAATAAATTGTAAAGGCCGTATACCAAATTGAATCAACACAAGTCCTGAGTTTTGTACTACTAACAAACCGTTTAAGAGATTCAACAGCGTTAGCCGGTGAAGGAATTAATGGATGCAAAATTGTTAAAGCATTTTGAGAAAATGAACCATTGTATATTTGTGAAGAGCAAAGTGAACGAGCCAGATCTGTTGTGTCATTAGAACGTAAATCATCGAAAACTGCTTTACGTGTTTCGTCGTCGACTTTAAGTCTGAGGATCTTGAATCTTTCTATATCTTTTTTAGTTGAATAAAGACTACGGTAGCCCTGTTCAATTAAGTATTGTTTACACGCAGAAAATAATTCTTTCTCCAATTTCGTGTCATTTATCTGCTTAAATAGCCATTTACTAGCACGATCATAAGCATTTCGCCATTCATTTTCGTAGTTTATTATTATAGTCTTAAGATAATAGATCGTGAAAGCCGTGTGCCAAACAGAGTCATCACATTCCCTAAGTCTAGGACTAATAGCGAGCCGCTTAAGGGATTTAATAACTTCCTCTAGTTTTATATCGAGATGGTCGGTTATTGAAGAATCTAGGGTAAAGGAGCCGTCTTCTCGCTGAGTATTGCAAATTATACGAGCAACGTCTACATCAACGGAGGAACGTAAGTCTTCATAAAGTGCTTCTTCAGTAGAATCAAGTTTTGGAGCATAAATATTTTCTTGATTATTATTACGAATAGCTTTCTCGTTGTCCATTGCAGTAAGAATATTTGCTTGACGATCGTCTTTACTGATGGTGGGAGAGTTTCTTGCTTTCGCTTCAGGTTCCTCTTCTTTCTCGAGCTTGCCAAAGAAGCCTTTTATTTTTCCAGGTTCTTTCTTTTTCTCAAACTCATTTTTCTTTTCTGGTTCTTTATCCTGTTTGTGGTTTTTGTCTGTTCCAAGACCAATAAGTTTCGTGAACAATGATGATCCGTCTTTTTTGGTAGTAACTATATCTTCTTTATGTTTTTCAGTCACTTTATCCGTTGCTTTATCGACTATATATTTATCAACACACTCTAATAATTCCTTTTCAGCATCCGTATCCCCAATTTGTTTAGAAAGATATTCACGGGCTTTATTATATTTGTCTCTCCATACACTTTCATGTTGAGATGTAACATTTTTAAGATATGAGAGGTTAATAGCGGTTTCAAAACTTAATGAAAATTCTGGTAATTTAAGTTTTTTGTTAGTAATGTTCTTTTTGATCGTATTAAGAATATCTTTTTTGGGAACGTCTAATTCATTACATACTGAATCATCCAATCCAATGCTACCATCTTCTTTTTGTTTAGATATTATTTCTTTATATTTTTCTGAGGAATTTGAAATGTCGTCTGGTGCTTCAACCACGTTTGACATTATTGACAATCTCGGTGGCAACGGATTAACTATATTGGATGGTTCAATATTACTTGGTCTTTTCCATGTCTTTGGACTGATCATGAACGAATCTTGTGTTTTCATAGTATATGGAGTATATACTTCATTCACACTTTCCAAATTCGATGCTAAACTTTCCTTTGGTCTTACATGAATTGAATGCCGCTTGTAATCGGAGATAAACTTGGGTGTGGGTGGATTTGAAATAGTTTTTATAGAGCGTCCATCAGAACCCAAATTATTTCTCTTAAGTTTAATAATCTCAGCTTCAATTTCTGAAAATCGCAGTAGAATTTCATCCAACCCAATTCTTTTTTCTGGCTTACCGTCCCATCCTTTATTCAATAAAAGATTTTATAAACATTGATATATAGTTTATGAATAAAAAATAATTTATAACGAAATAATTGACATAGATACCATCTGCAATGATTCTTAGGTATTTTCTTTGAATGTTAAGATAGTCCAGTGTAAAAAAGGGTAGTTTTGGAGATTCTCTACGACCCCGTGTAACATGAGCAATAATATCTTCTTTATTCATGTTTTCATAGGGAATCTTTTGGAAAGCCAATTCCCATAAAAGCATTATGAAGCTATATAAATACAATAATGGTGTATACAATACGTATTAATATAACATTTAACATATCTAGAGTTGCTATAATAACTGATAAGAAAGGTTTTTAGAATAGATACCTAAAAACCTCACATTCTTGAGTGTATAAGGCATTATTTTGCATAATTTCAGGTGCTGACCAATTAATAATACTCATTATATGATTCGAGATATGATTTTCATTATCTAGTTCTATTTCTGAAGTTTGCTTGGCAAAATAAAAATTTGTGATCTTTGGTTCCATATAATGGGTCATCTGCGATACGATAAATGAATAAATATATTAAAGTAAATAAATAAATGACATGATCAGAAATTTTGAAGCAAGATTTAGAACAAGATTTACCATTATATTCTCACATCGAATGTCACGATGAAAAATATCCGCGTGCCTCAAAAATAATAAGCCCTTACAAATGTCATGTGCTATTTTCGCTTTTAAATCCCAACGAACTTTTTTCTTTTCGTAGACATTCTTTAAACTACCCAAGCCCGCCCATTCAAATATCAACATTTCATCACCATCAATATTTGAAAGTCCATAAAATTTAAGAATATTTCGGCACTCGCGAAATCTCTTTAATTCACTCAAAATTGACAAGTTTTGGTTTTGTTCGAAAAAGGTAATGGGTTCACATGCTACTTCAACACCACGTTTATAAATCTTCTTTACAATATGTTTCATTTGTATACAATCATCTAGATCGCATTCTGGCTTCCCATCAGGTTCATTTTCATGATTTATTTTCGAATCGTCAGCATGAGGAGGATCAAATAATAATATAGAATCAATACGTGGGACATTGATATCTAAAACTGATCTTTCGATTAAATTTTGAACTATCTTTTCTATTTGGATAATCTTCTCACTTTTAATATCACCCGGAATGGTTTTTAAAACCTATTATATGTAATAAAATTATTAAATATTAATTTAGAAAATACAGTCATCTTGCCATATGAAGTATGCGACAAAAACATCTGGTAAAATATTATGTAATTTGAAAATGGCCGATCCATTATCTATGCTTTTAGGTTTGAACGAACTTAGGACTCATTTAAACTAAAATAGACATATACCTGCAGTAACGAAAACGAGTTTGCAATAAATAAATAAATAATAAATAAATAAACCACCATAATTATGTACTCTTTTGATGATTTTTGGCTTAAGCGGATGATAAGGCTCGAAGCGTTCATTTAAATTCAAAATCATCAATAAAGATTTATCTGTTCTTGAGATATCGGTGGATGATTTTGTGCTTAAATGAATGCTTCCGCTAATTAAACCTAAATCAAAAATAGATTTCTTTTTTATTTAACAAAATACAGTATACGGTACCTTATGAAAATTCATAATATCTTCCTGTTGACGTTCTTGTTTGTTCATTATGATTTTAATTAGAATTGGATGTAATATTTTTTCGCAGTTTTCATGTTCCTTTAACAATTTTTCATATTTTTCTTTCACGTGCCTATACGGATAAAAGAAATAGTGACTCTTTTCGATATCCCCTATTTCTTTCGCGAATTCTTTTACATTTTCTAACGAAACCTTATATTTATTAAAGGCATCCTCATATTGTTGAGAATATGATTCAACTTCATTCTTTGCATAATGCAAGGTTCGAACAGTCTCTGATGAAGGGTGAATAATTGGGTCAAAAATTTTTTTATTTCTAAGGTTTATAGTGATATGTTTTATTTCATCAATTAATCTGTAACTTGCGTCAACGCAAGATACGCTAGACATAGTTTCTGGAATTATAATTGTTGCTTCCATCGAAAGAATTGTTGAGACTTGACAATTTATAGTAAATAATATAATTGAAAATTTGTGAAATTGGAATATGTTCTCATTAAAATTGAAATTTACTATAAAGATAAGTTGGCTTTCCGGAATCTATTTAATTAAAAATAAAATCTCATGTTTTTGAACTTTGTTTCAACCAATTTTTTTTTCCGCAGATTATCACGAGTGAAATCTATGAATCTATCTATAGAATTGCCTATTGCAGTATATTGCAGCAAATTGCAGCGAATTACATTCCGGCAGATAGCGAGATAGTTTACAGCCGTTTTCATTACTTTTAGAACATTTGAAAAATTGTTGATGTCGGCCTGCGTCAGTAACTTATTGATTCCGATTCGGTAGCTTATCGATTCGAATTTTTCAGATGTCCCAAATATAATGAAGGCAGCTGTAAAGGATAAGTCGCCCCGAATCTATTATAATTTAATGTACTAAGAAAATGCGTAGCATTGTTTGTTTGGAGCGTATCATCTTATTACACAAACGCGTGAATATGCATGTTTTAATTACACTAAATTACAAATCTGAACACGCGTGCAAAAAATTGTTTATACGGATCAGGGACCCGTAAAAATTTGGATCCAAAAATTTGGAAATTTTTGGATCCAAATTTTTATGTACACTAATGGTCTGTCGCTACGCTCCAGACAATTAATTAATAACTATAGTATCTTTTCAGGCAAATTTTCCTGTTGACTATCACGAGTAATCTGTCTGTTGTAGCATTTAAGCTTTGTAATGGGATATGGGACAGTTTCAAAGATAAAAATATAACTGAATTACAGAATTATAGATATCATGTTATGTATTAATTAAAAAATTTTTATGAAATAAGTTGAGCTTTAACATAAGAAATAATTAAATTTTAGACATCGTTTATTTTCTTTACTACCCAGGGAAGGATTCCAAAATGCTATAAATTTGAATTTACGAGTTTAATTTGCTTTTTGGCGTAGAATTTCTATATCGAAATTAAAGTTTTTTGTATTGCATTGAAAATCTTTGTGTTTCAGAAACTTTTTCTTAACTGTGGGAAATAACCCGTTTTTGTACTAAAAATGCATAATGTTATAATTAATGTTAATGCGTAATGAGGGTAAATTCTGGTTAAACCCTTCGTAATTTCGCTGCGCCCTAATTTTTACGTAATACTCCTCTTTTTTTTGTTTACCTTATCGTTATATTATAATTACCCCCGCATTGTTCATAGAGATAGTCATCAACGTCTATATTTGTATTATCTCGCACACCATCGGGATATTCTTTAACCGACTGATTAACAGGTCCTATTTTAGTAAGCGATTGATTTCACTGTATCGGTATATATTTTTTAATTAGGCGATTGGTAATCGCGTGTGCTGTACGTATATTCTCAGTAACACAGACCAAATTTAAGTTTGTAAACAAACTAAGGCTATATCGGTGTTATAGCGATAGATTATCACTTATTATATGCAAAATTTCGTTCCAGAGTCGATTTAAACACTAGTTTTCGAGTATTTCAACTTCTTTTTTACGTTGGGGCTAATCTGGCCATTTCCTTTTTAAGATGAAATAAGTAGCTACATGTGGAGGAAATCTCAAACTGTTGAGTGAGAGAAAAGTAAGGGCCTCTTGGTAATAAGGAAGGGATAATTGATGCTCATAAATTACAAGTGGTACTTGGTGCTTATCTTAATTTGTGTTCAAGTATAGTTTCCAATAATCTTTAAAAGGAAATCTACAGTATTCCACATGTTCTGTCTGACTGTGGATTCTTTTCATGTATTTAAGTTTTTTGAATTCAGGTTTGTATTTTTTTTTTTGAGTGATCTCTCCTTTATAAATAAAAACTTCTGAAAATTTTTTGTTTAAATTGTATTCATTATTTCTCTTAATAAATTATAGCGAAACCCTCTAAATGCACGCATTCAGGACCAAATTTTAACAACTGCACTTAGAGAACAATAAGAAAGTACATTTATGGAGATCATGTGTATATTTGGGCCAGAATCTGAGTGTGAATTTAGAGAGAATGTGCACTTAGAGAGGATGCACTTAGAGAGAATGTGTACTTAGAGAGGATGCACTTAGAGAGGTTCACTGTACATGATATTGATTCTAAAGTTTGTAAAGTTCATATATAGGTCCCTGGTGGTTAATTTTGGAACCCGGTTTATAAATCGCACCCTATAGGGACCAAACCTTTAACAACGTGCATTTGGAGAGGTTTTTCTATAATAGATTTTACAATATGGATATATTCATAGTTATGTTATAACCAGTGACATTAACACCACATACTATATATGAGTCAATACAGTAGAAATCAACCAAATTTTTTATAATAAAATTTTTTCATAACTTTAAACAAAAATAACTTAACAAAAACTTTACCAAATTTAATAAAAATTTTTTAAATAATTTTTACAAACTTGTAGAATTAATTTAAAAAAATTTATTAAATTTGAGTAAGTTTTTGTTAAGTTTTCCTTGTTTAAAGTTTTTAAAAAGCTTAATAAAAAATTGCTTGATTTCTATTGACAACCCCATATGTTAATTTAGGGTTAGGGCCCTGAAATAAAGTAATATTATAGGTTCAAATTTTAGCTGAATGAGTTTTTGATGTGCTGAACACTTTTACTTAGTATAGCAGCTGTGGTATTAACAACACGGTAATTTAGTAAAACCATATATTTGTTATCGGCTGGAGCTGAGGGAACTACTCTACTGAATTTCGGAAATTTCTGGCTCCCGCTTCAGCCTGACCCAAATTTTAGATGAATTGAGTCTAATTAGGATTGGTTTAAATATAATAGCTGACTTAATAGAATTTAATAAAAGAATAATTTGTCAATTAGAAAGTAAGAATTAAATATGTCATCGTATTGTAAATAATAAAAAAAATTAATAAATAGTTTATCAGTTAGGAATTATAAATACACCATTGTATCGTAAGCAAGTATTTTGAATAAATAAAAGAAAACTTTGTTACGTTCATTTTTATTTTGGTTAAAATGCAAAAACAAAAAGAACTTACACACCTGAACAAGTAGCTATAATAAAATGGATCGAGAAGGAAACGAAAAAGTCCAATGACTGAAGAACAACGGCTAGCTTATTGAAAAAGCGAATCAGAAAAGAGACGGGTTCGTCGTAAATGTCAGTTAACAACTAATAATAAAACGAAAGAGAATATAAATCAAGACGAACAAACAGATAACGAAGACAACTTAAACAAAAGTATGATTTTTAAATTAAATTTGAGAAAAAAAAAAGTCTAACATGTATTAAATTATTTTAGGCACTTACTGATAATGACCATAATCTTCTCAGAAAGTTTCATGACGCTGTTGCAGATCTTAGACATAATTATTGTCCTATTTGTAAGGAATCCTTCACTACCTACAGTTATTCTGGTTAAAACACGGGTCCAACGAAATCTGTATTGAATCATCAAGTAATGCCGACTCGACCTATTAAATGTACCTGGGAATGAAAGTCAGGAACTTGTTCCCACATTCAATTTCCTTTGTGCCTTGCTTGGGCAATTACAATTTACAAGTCTTAGGTTTAACATTACCACAAGCTGTAATAAATCTTGGAAATAGGAAATTTGCACCCGGCTTTATATTTGTAGGTTCGCATCTTCTTTTCGATAGTGCATTCTCCTTTGACAGATTACAAATATTAGAACATGCACGTTTACAGCAAAGATTAATGGGAGAACAGAGATTACTTTCTTTATGAAATTATGAATTTACTAAAATTATGAAATTATTATAAATATAATTTTTTACTAATAATAACCATTTATAAAACTTTAAATACTATGTTAATAAATAATAGCAATTTATAAAATTTAAACTGTATTTCAAATTTAATTTTATTCTAAAGTATAAGACCTAAGACTTAGAGCTCCGGCCCACAAAACGACGCCGTTTTTCTAGTAATACATAAAAAATTTAGTATCAGATATACGGAGTGTATCAAAAGTCCAATACACCCCCTTTTTTTAAAGTGATCTTACATATAGAGATCACGATGGTTATTATGCAAATATGCTCGGTATATTTGCATAAGTAATCGACGTGATCTCTATATGCAAAGTCACTTAAAAAAAGAACCTATGTAACTTTTGATACGCCCAGTGTATAAAATTATTATCATATTTATATATATTTGTATATTGTTTATAATTGCATATTGTACGTACTCGTATTTGCATACGTATACTGTATGTCGTTATTCTTGCATATTTGTACAATATTTGCAAAAGTAGAAACAAGAATTACTATTCTCACGAAGACGCAAACATGTGAATACGTACATGCATTCACATCATTATTCAATTTCCGTTATTATTACTTGTTCGCGACGAGTTTTTTTAGCATTGTTCCTCTCATGTATCATAAGGTCGCGATCAATTTGATAAGACTTCCCTAACAATCATTTCCTGACGCCTAATTTTCCTAATGCGTACCATTTTCCCGAATATTCCCGACAATATCATTTCTTCGTGATCGTTATCTCGACAACTATTCTCTTGATAGCATCATTTTCTCGACAATTATTTTACCGATATTGTTTCCCAAAACATTTTCAATACTCCTACAGCATTTAGTGTAAAAAAACACATAAATTCTGAGACAACTGATAAAAATTATTTCGGCCGAATTCGATAAGTTTTTGAATTCGGTGTTATCGAAATTTGATTTCGGCGAA